GGGCTCAGGCAATCCACTCTTCTCAGCCTCCCAAAGGCGCAGGATTACAGACTGAGCCACCAAGCCCGGCGGCTTGGTGCCTTTCTTATGGTACCAGCCTAATGAATAATAATTAAGTATATGAATTAATCAATGTTTAAGGAACTTACCCTCCACACATGAACATGTTTAGCAATGGAGCTGGAATTCTGAATTCAGATCTTTAGTCTTAGACTATTTCTATGTGTCATGTTATCTCTTATACATCTTTATTCTGTCTATTATAGAATCTTAATGCTGTTTTACAGATTTGAAGGTATCGGTTCTGTTCTTTTATTTGCCCCATCTCCAGTAACCAAATGCTTTCTTGTAAATGGAATTCCCTTCCTATAAGTCAGTTATAATGCTAAAATCTATTGAGTTTATACTTCGTCTTTGCTAATTCAAACACATATCCAGTCCTTGGGACACAAAGGATCTCAGGATTGAGCTTCTTTTGTTTTCTATCAATAATGTACGGAAGTACCTGTTTCCCTAAACCACTGCTAATAGAATGTGTTGTTTTACTACCACTTTGCTTTCTAAATAGCATGTGACAGATTCAGTATCTCTTACCCTGTCCTTGCCATCCATGTGTGAAACACTGTATAATATGCAGGGAACCCAAAAAAAACAGAATGTATTTATGAAAAATTGTGTATTTATTCTTACATGTTTAAACTTCAATGAACTTCAAAGTACTCTCTGTCTGATGCAATATACCTATCAAGATTATTTTTTCACTGCGCAAAACAGTTTTTGAACTCATCAATTTTGATGCCTTTTAGTGCTTCTGCTGTTTTTATGTTTCACCTCTTCCACATTGGCAGAATGTTTCCCTTTGAGGTCTTTTTTTCATCCGGGGAAACAAAAAAAAAGTCTCTTGGGATAAGATCAGGTGAATAGGGAGGGTAGGGCACAGTGGTCATGATGTTTTTGGTCAAAAACTGCCAAACACTTAGAGCAGTGTGGGCTGCTGCACTTGTAAACCACCCATCATGAAATGGGCAAACGTATTCAAAGAATGTCTAAAAAAGTTCACTGGGCCATTGCCTTGCTAGACTCTGGTGTGGCCACGCGCTCTTTGAGCTATGGCTACTACCATGCACCCTGGCTTTGGCCCCCTCCCTTACCTTGGGTAGGTGAATCTCCTCTTTCTTTATTTCTCTCTCCCTCTAATTTACTTTTAAATAAACTATATTCTGTAATTTTTAAAAAAATTCACTGAAGCTGCACACCTCCTCTCCCAGCAAAGCTAGCTGGTACACTGATGCTGATGAGTTCCTAGAATACTTACCTAGCAGGGATGCATGTACTACAAGGTACCCGCCCTCCAAAAGATAATTTGGGGTTTTGGGGGATACCCTCTTGTAAACTGCTTTTGTGTTTATTTTATTTTATTTTTAAAGATGTGGGGTACAATTCAGAGTTAGGTATACAAATGTTCATTATGCAGGTACCCTTGTTAATGAAGTGTGCCCCCCCATTCCCAGGCAGATTCCCACTACTGCCAATCCCACTTCCCTGCCACCTTCCCAGCAGTTTCCCGCTACTGCCAATCATTTTCTTATAATATTACAATAATTGTTCAAGGTCCACTTATGAGTAAGAACATTTGATACTCAGTTCTTTGTTTCTGTGAAAAATCACTCAATATTATAGACTCTAAGTCCATCCAGGTTGCTGTGAAGTTCATGATTTTGTTCTTCTTTATGGCCACATAATATTCCATTGTGTATATGTGCCATACTTTTTTTATCCAGTCCTCTTTTGATGGGCAGCATGGTTGGTTCCATGTTCTTGCTACTGTGAACAATGCTGTGATAAACATGTGTGTGCAGGTATCTTTTTTATAGAGTGATTTGAGTTCTGTGTATATTCCCAGTAGGGGGATTGCAGGGTCATATGAAAGGTCGATTTTTAGATCTTTTAGGAATCGCCACACAGATTTCCACAGAGGCAGTAGTTAGTTTACACTCCCACCAACTGTGTAGAAGTGTTCCCTTTTCACCACATCTTCTCTAGCATCTGTTGTTTTTTGAGTTGATGCCATCCTGACTGGAGTGAGGTGGTATCTCAGTGTGGTTTTAATTTGCATTTCTTTGATAACTAGTGAGGCTGAACATTTTTTCATGCATCTGTTGGCTGCTCGTATTTCTTCTTTTGAGAAGTGTCTATTCATACCTTTTGCCCACTTTGTAATGGGGTTGTTTGTTTTTTGCAAACTGCTTTTGAGTACTATCCTTTTATCATTGCTGT